AAGAGATTAGGAACTAATTTATCAGATGTATTTCAGTCACCAGTAAACAGAAATTTGTATAATCAGTATACTTTTTAGCCTGTTTAAGGTAGCTGAAGAGAGATTAATTACAAGAAATACTTCTCCTCAAAAGGCAACATTTTTAGAGACAGCCAGGAGCTGGTGGCTTCTTACAAATGCTTGAAAGTTAATCCTATCAGAGATAACCAAACAAGCCTTTCCCTCTTGTACAGGGGTATCCTTAAGATTGTCTCTTCAAGATTAGAACATAGAATTAAAAGTCATGTGAATGAAAACTGCATGATTTTTGAACACAGGTAACAGACATGTTTTTGGAGGCTCTACTCATTCTAGCTTTGTGATATACTTGAATTAAGATAAGTGGTTTGTTTGTTTTTTTTTTAATGAAATAGAACTGAACTTATGAAAACAGCATCTACATACACAGAAAAAGTAAAGTATGAATTAATGAATCCCTTTTCCTAATTCTGTGGAACTCTCTGAGACCAAAGGCTGGGAACCACTGCTTTACACCAGTGAAGAGAATAAACATGCATAGTTTATAAATATAACAAACTTCTCCATTTGTAAAACAAAGGACATTAATAAAGCTAGATAAAATGTCTTCATTGGCATGGATAAATAACAAAGACATCTCTGTATAGCTCTACTAGTCAAAATGATTTTCAATATCCGGGGGAACTGTTTCAGAATATCCAAGGAAGGAGAGCAGGAGGTTTTTATCAAAAGTGGGCATGAAGTGTGGAAATCAGTACCATAGACTTTCTTCAGCTTTTTATTTCCCTTCCCTTTGCCCTACGACTATCAAGCACATACTTTTAGTTTTCTAGCACTTCTGATGTTTTGGTTAGTATTAACTAATTAATAAATAACATTCCCTTTTTCACTGATGCCCTAGAATAGATCCCTACTTATCCTACATTACTTCTCTATCTAGTAATACAGTTTTTTTAGATAATTAAGTGCTATTAGACTATGGGTGTGCCATATGATAAGCATTGCAAACCACAAAGGTCTGCATTTTGAGTCAGCCAGTTGCTCCTCAGGAGAAAAGATGAAGCTTTCTGCTCCCTCAAAGATGTAAAAGCCTTGGAAACCCTATACAGGGTTGCCATGAGTTGGAACCCACTTGATGACATTTAACAAGAACAAAATTAGACTATACCCTTGGGTCAAAAGGGTTATTATTAGTTATTCACAAACAATTTAATCTTAAGTTTTCAAAGATTTGCCAGATGAGGTAAAGCATTGTTTTTTTTTAATGGAATAATAATAGTCTGGAGAGATCTGCCTCACTGCCTATTTAGGCAGTCCACGTGAGGAGTCAGAAGTCTAGTCCAAGCCTGACACTCTCAGGGGTCCCTGTTCTTTTCTTCCTCACTGGACCTTCATCTACTCAGTCTTTACCATAACGCATTTTACTTAAATTCAACTTCATTGTAATGTTTTACAATGCTTTCCTAGCATATCAAATGCACTCAAAAGACATCAGTATATGATAAACAGTGATTTAAAACAAAAGCTTAGGCTAAGACTGTTCTGATTGGAATTTTGACTTTGCTATTTATTAACTGCATATATTTGGGAAAATTGCAAAAGTCCTATGCTAGTTTCCTATAAAATGGAGAAAACTATAGTACCTACAACTCATACTGTTCTTATGAGAATTAAAATTATGTAAGCAAACTACATAGCAAAGTGCTTGACAAAAATGTTCAACAAGTTAGTGGCTATGATAATCATGATTTCCTGTTTTCTACAGTCTCTGAGTTTCAACTGTCCTCCTGCCTCTAATGTCTATAAACACTTTTCAAGCCTGATGAACATGTAAATTATATAGAGATTATAATCCCACAAAAGAAGGATTAATCCAGTAATATAAAACTCCTCACCCTCCCTTCTTCCACTTATTATAAATGGTTAGCAGTCATCCTTGTTCATTCGTTATCAAGTCAGGAGATAAAGCAAAGAAGCAGAAGACACTAGTATGAACACAAGTGTTCATTGTTGGCAAGAACATATTAGATGTAAGTCATAAGAAGATACAAGGAAGAACACAAAAGTTGGGAATAAAAGTAGAAGAAAGCAGAGGGCAGTGATCTAAAAGAGCAAGAGAAATAAAAAAGGTTGACAGAGGAGAATTTTAGAGAAAAGGATTTATGTAGATCTATTTAGAAAGATGGTATAAGATGTAAAAGAAAGGGGTTTGCTGAAAGCAGAATAGCCTGAATGGCTATAAACAAAAGAGCAAAGCATTTTGCAGGGTTTAAGAAGCGATAGGTAGTACATGAGTAAGCTAATCAAATTTTCACAAACTGAAGAGATATCTGCGAGGCTGGGCTAAACCAACCAAAAATAACACAGAAATGTGCATGTTAACACTTAAATATAGTTTAGGGGCATTAAAAGAAATATCTGTTCAGTTGTAAACATGGGCCATTATTAAGGCTTGCCCCGCCCCTTCAAAGATCTGATCTACAGACTAATAAAAACTTAGTTTGCTTAGTTTTCTAGTCAGTTCTATATACCTAAAATTTCACAATTTCCTTCCCTAATAAAATATTTCTTCATGCTAGGACTACAATCTTTTTTTTTTTTTTCCACCAAAGAGTAAGAGAGGTGTCTTACTGGAATATATTGACAAAAATATATTTAAAAATAAAAAATAGTGTAATTTAAAAAACAATGGGAATAATGTAAAAGTTCCACACCTCTGTTGGGTTATTTTCTGCCCCGAAATAAATTCAGTAAGAGCCAAATGAAAAACAGTTAGCTTAAAATTATATCTAATAGTTTACAAGTTGCTGAAAATTAATGTATATCCAGACTCAACTGCTGCTTATCAAAGAATGCTATGAATATCATCTGAATTAGCACCAGTCTGGTGAGGAAAAACGTGTATTGCATCAGACAGTCTTGCTGTGATATCTGTTCAAACATACCTGAACCAGTCAAAAGTCCAGCACTCTTCTTTCGTGCATAAGCGCGTAAGTGGTTGGACAGGCTAACAGCACTTGTAAACGTCGTATTGCAATGCACACATGTTCTAAGCTTCACAGGCATACCTATCATTCAAAAGAAAACTATAATCCAGTTCTACTTCAAAAAGTGAAATTTTCTTAGCTTAAAGTGTGTAGAAAAGTACCACAATAAAGATGGCTTAAAAAAAACGGTCATTGAATTAGTTTAAGGAGGAGGAATTAGTTTGTAGTTAGTATTTAGAGTTATACGATGCTCTTTGGAAAGGTGGAAAAGGAGTGGCTTGAACCTCGGCATCCCTCTGGATTTAACATTTACTATCACTTTCTTGCAGATTTCTGTGTTACGCAGATTATTTCCTAAACCTAAAATACAATCCTATGATTTGAATAGCACAGTTCTATTAAGAAGTTTTAAGCTGTACAACATTACCAATAAAAAAATTAAAAAGTCTAGTTGACAAAGTGGTAATTAAAGTGTTTTATCCACAAAACCGTAAAAGGCTCAATACTAAATTAGGCTTTCTGATGAAGGCTGGGAGAAAAGGTGGTAAAACACACCACTGAACAGCTGTTAGACACAACATTTTATTCAGGGCATTTTATGTTCATTACTCTGAATGCGCAATCAATAATGAAAGTTAATGATTTGAAGTTTTTTGCTAAAATCTTTGTGCTACATAAATGATCAACAAGCTTACATCTTAGTCATCACAGAAAAAGACACGTTGAGACAATAATCAACTCCTTACTTCTCAGACAACCCTCATCCCCCAAACACATTTTAATTGGTTTCATCAACATTATTGCAATGGCTACACCTATGTTTTCCTTCGCTGAAGTGTACTACATCTTGATCAACGCAGCTGACACATTTTCCATATATTTTGTCTTATGAAAAATATTTAAAACAACTGACACTGAAAATTTCATACAAAAGGTACAACTCTCTTAACCAGAAGCCCATACAAGATAAACTGCTTTCCAGACCACTTACAATACACAAAGGAATCTTTCCTAAAACCAAAACTGATATTTGGGACATCCCAATGCCTGTACAAAGAAAGCACGTCAACATTACTTTACAGTTAATTGTATTTATTACTAATCCAATGGCCAATTACTATTACTTTAGACACATTCACCTGGGTTCTATCTAATCATTAGACCATCTATGTTAATGTTCAACATTTTGCATTTTCAACCTCCAAAAGAAACTTATATCAAGACCCTTAAAATTCTTCTAATCTAAGAGTATAAATCAGACTTAGCAACATCAAAGTCTGCCACAGCATTTACCAATATATATGAAATAGTCCTTTGAAAAGGGAAAACTATTGGCTTACAAGCACTAAGCTATCCATTCTGTTCCATGAGAACACTACTGTAAATTATAAAATCAGACAAATACATTTTATACTCACAATAGTTCTCCAAAACCAAACTATCCCACAATACAATGAGGAATTGAAGAAAGAGAAGTTTCTTTGAGTTAATCACAACACACAACAGAGACTACTCCATTCAGTTGAAAGAGTCTGTTTAGTTTTACCTAAGCAGTAGCAAAACCAATAGTTAAATCTTGAAAACATTATCATTTTAGAGAATTGGGGGGGGGGGGGGGGGATTTTAGTTTGCCTTTTCAGTAAGTCTGTACTTTTTTTTTTAATGCTACACTTCTAAACGTCAACCCTCCCATGCATAAAACCATCCCCAGCCACAGCAAATTTCATGTTTACAGATCAGTTTTTTCCTTTTATTCTCTCACCTTATAGTTTGACTAAGAATTGAGGCACACAGAACTCAGTGCTGATGAGCATCAACTGAGTTATAAAGAAATAATAATAAAATAACCAATTCTGTGCTCTGTAAAAAAAAACAGCAGCTTAAATAAAAACATCCACAAAAGTTATTGTTTTTTACAAATTTCCCGTTACAGTAAAGATAATATAAACTTTGATTAAATTACATATTCTAAGATGCTCATAAACATCCTCTTACCTGAGTGCATAGTCAAGTCCATTCTTTGTGGTTGGTACATCAACGGACTATCTTCATTTAATGGAAGTACACATTTCTGAACAAATCTCTTTCTTGCAGTTTGATTATGAATCTTTTGAGGAGAAAGAACAGAATTCCTTTCTTCTCCCATCCTTTTATTTTTAAGAAGTTCTATCAGTGTCAGAGACTTTCTTCCACTAGACAGTTCTGGTTTTGTTTCATCATATTCATTTAAGAAACTCAGCCCATCTTCCTCTGATGCAGACACTGATACAGCTTCAGTCTTTAGGCCATTATGGTATGCTTCAAGAGGTATAACATTTGGGGATAAAAAGTCATCACTTGATGAAAATTTTTGAGCTACAAATGGTCTGGGAATAATACGGCGACTGTTCAATGCCTTTAAGATTTTTTCATATTTTTCTTCATTTTGCATCATCTCATTCAGAACACAGATTGGAGATTTGTGAGCATCCCATTTGGTCTTTCCCAGTCTTTTCAGGTGGCCTCTCACATGATTTGATAATCCAATTTTAGTATCAAACCAACCGCCACACAGTTGACAAGTGTGTTCAGAAGTGGTTTCAGACTTCTCTATAGCTAAAAAAAAAAAAAAGTTTAACAGTAATATCAGAATTTTTTATAAACTGCCCACCCTAAACCAATTACCTATGAAATAAGACATATTATTCTAATTAAGAACGGTATTCAAACAAAATCCTAATTATCCTCTGAATTTGAATAAACATATTAGCCCAAATTATTCATACAACTTACCTTTTCTGACTCGCTTAACAGGTGTTCCTGTACCAGTCCTTTTGAAATGCTGCATTTTGTCACTTGTGGCTATTTGTTCTGGTGACACAACATGACGCGCTTCATAGCTTAATCCTGCTCTGTGAAGATGTCCCCGAACATGATTTGATAAGCCAACACCTGTTTCAAATGTTGCTGGGCAGTAAGGACAAGATTTCTTCTCAAGAGACAATTCAGACCAATGAAAAACAGAACTATGCTTTGACAATGAAGTTTCTGCGTTTTCTAAATGCTGAGGATCCTGTATCTCACTCAAAAAGTTATTAGTTTCTGCATCTTCATAATATTCAAAATAAAAGCCATCATTCTGATCATAACTAAGAGTAGTATTTTCTCCAGGTTCTTGACCCTCTACCTTGCTTTTAAATAGAGGGAATAAGTTTACATGTTCTTGATTAATATCATTATAGGTTTCTTCTTCTATAGTTTGTGTAGTGTAGTCACCTAGCTCAACATTATCCCAAGAACTTTCATCTTCTGTTTCATAGCTATCTTTCTTTTCAGCAGAGTTAAGTTTTTGCAAAACAACAACTGTCATTTTATGCAAAAAATCTGGATAGCTATCCAAGTCTTCTTCTCCAACAGAGCTTTCCTTTTTAGATTCCTTAGCTACTCTCTTTACAGCTACACGCCTATGCTCTTTGAAATTTTCTGGCCTTTTGGTGTCAGAGTTATGAGAATCCGAAATTAAACTATCACTGTGAGAATTACTTGATGATGAAAACAGATGTAAAGAATTTAATGAACTACCTTCTTTTTTAAAATGTAGAGGATATGATTCACCTGATTTTTTGATCGTCCTGTAGTTTTCATATTTATGTCTATATAAATAGCTGCTATTTGTCTTGACGTTGGTTTTTTCTTTTGCTGCTTGATGTAAATACTTAGCTTTTTGGTCAACGCTGTTTTTATTCGTAACAGTCTTATGAGAATTGTTTTGATTGCACACATTTACACCTGACTGGGCGATACTTTTCCGAGCTTTTTGTATTCTGTGTGGCCGCTTATGGAATTTTGAAAAATTACTTGATTGTGAAGCTGATCCAAATGTTCGTTTTACATCTTGTTTTAGAGCAGAGTTCTTTGGAAATGTGGATAACTGTTGTTTAATTAATGGTTTAGTACTAACAATATCTATAGGTTCTTCAAGGATATCACTTTTTCTTTTGTCAAGTCCAAGAGGACTACCAAATGATTCAGTGCATGATGATGAATGTAGGTATTCCATGTGTTTTTTAAAAATACTTCTGGCTGAAGTAGTAAAAGGACACATCTTGCATATGTAGGCAGTTGATTTTTTGGATGACCCTGTAACAGAGACTTTCATGAATGTCTTTTTTTGCGTTTTTCTCTGGGCTATATCAGAACTGACTATGGGGCATTTTACCACTGCTCCGTGGGCAATGCCTCGGTGGCATTCCAATTCATTTTCTGTCACTGCCATGAAGTTACACTCTTCACAACAGTAGTACCTTTTATCTTTTTCATGGGTTTTAGCATGTTGCACAAATGTTTTAGGGCAATTGGTACCAAACACACACTGAGGGCACTGTAATCGGGCATTCCTTCCTTCATCCTGAAGTTCTTTCAATTCACGAATTTCCTCCATCAACTTCTGTCTTCTTTCTTGGTGAATAATCATGTGCTTTAAAAGTGAGTTGCGGTCTCGAAAAGTCCGTCCACATTCTCTACAAGCATACGGTCTTGGGACATTTAAATGACGAAAGTGACTATTCCCATCTAAATGATACATCATATGCCTGTGGAGGTGCTTCTTCTCCCTAAAATTCACATTGCACTTTGTACAGGGGTAGAATGATGGCTCTTCGGTGCTGAAAGTAGCAGGTGACTCGGAATCACTCTCTTCACATTTCTTTTTTAAAGAATTTGAAAGAAAAGTGCTAGTATGGACAGGTGAACTGTCTTCTTCACACTTATCTGGGTTATATATTAGATGTTGAAAACCTTCCACAGATTCCAAGTCTTCATCAGTTGATTCAGGCTTCACTTTTGATAATGCATATTTCTGTGAGTCTATTGCTTGTAGTTCTTCATTTTGTTCCAGAAAGTCTACTTCTAGCATTTTGGATTTATTGGGTATACAATTAGAATCACTAAAGCAATCCTCAGTATAACGAGTTATCTTGCTTACATCCATTTTCCGTTTTCTCTTTTTTTCTAGACCTACTTTAGAGTGAACTGGGCCTTTATCTACTGTATCTTCATTAGTCATAAGAAATTGAATGAACTCTTTTTGGGGGTCCCAGTTTGTATCATTTTCTGACCTAAATTCATCTGTACCTGAGGCAGCTCCTGTTAATGTATTGACACAATCATCTTTTACCAATAAATCTTCACTATTCTCACCCACCTCTACTTGATTTATTAAAGTGCTATCTGACTTTATACTACTCCCTACTGAATTCTGAATGTCACAACCAACGGAAGCAGAGGTAGGTAGTTTTTTAATGGAATGAGTTGGATTCTTAGCATGTGCTACATCTGGTAACAAAAATAAAACTTGGTGCTGACTTGCTTTCTGTGGTGAAGACAGCTGAAGATCAGCTGCCACCTTCAAAGTTGAACAAGATTCGGTTGATGGCTGGTCCACAGGCTGTCCAGTGGTTAATGCAACACTGCCTTTATTCATATTGGAAGTCTTAGTTAAGGAGGAGTGTGAAACTGGTCCATTAACAACAGCTCCTTTAGGCAAGATACAGTTTTCACTAGAAACAGTAGGAGCACCAGCATGTATAAACAGAGTAGACTGGCCTCCGCTTAAGGCTTTTTCAGATGTGTCCTTCGACAGTTCTTCAGACAGAGTCAACGTATTGTTTTTCTGAAATGATGTTTGACAATCTTTTGGTTTATGAACTCCACTTTCTTTCTCCAAGATAAAATTGTTGCCATCTACAAGTTCTTCTTTAGCACCAGTAATATCGGTGTTTATCTTCATATCATCCATATTGTTGGCAAGTCCATTTAATACATTTAGTCTAGAAAATGGAAAAAACAATTTTAGATTTGAATGAAAAAAGAAAATACTATTAGATTGTGCACAGAGAGTTTGAAAGTACATATTTGTTATTAATTTTCCATTTTTCATATTGAGATTCAAATACTTTTCTTGGAATAAAGACAGCTGAAAAATGAAAACATTTTAAAAGTGTGACAAAGGATAGTTTTTTTCTTTGTGCTAGGTGACAACAACCCAATATTGCATGTGTACAAAATGTCTAGAGAAAAGCAAACATAAACTCATATATACTCATACATAGATACACACACACACACACATAACACACCTATATACATGCATATTCATTTATATGCTACAGAGGAAGAAAACTTGAAAACCTCCTAAGAATACAGATTTACAATAAAAAGGAAATTATTTCACTTAAGCAGGTTTATTATTTATCTAAATTACAGATAATACAGAGAAGAGTGTTGCAACTTGAAAGTTCACTCCTGAAGGAAGGCAACAGAAAACTTTTCAGTGAAGAATTTTATTTGAATGACATATACTATCAATATAAATGACTTATTACATAGCAATGATTTTATTTAAAATATTTAAAAAAATATTTTGCTCTTAATGACATTTTAACTTTCTCCTAAAATTCTACCAATTAAATATAATAGTATTTTACTCATAGGGGCTCACTAATTGCTTATTCAGATTATCCTGAATTCTAAATTGGTAAAGTTGCTTTAAACTTTTGCACCTAGGGCCCAAAACTCTAGGCATTCTCTGGGGTAGGATAGTTTCTCCATTTATAATCTGACACTCTTGTAAGCCTAAAACATTTTATGATGAAACACCATAAATGCATGCTAAACTTTTAATTAATCCATATAAAATATAGATGACGTTTTCAAAAGCATTTTAAACAATATATTTAATCATTATGGCAGCACAACAGAATATTTTAAAAGGAGAATAAAAATTTGGGAGACATATATTCAATGGTTGACTGTAATTATTTCCACATTATGAAGAATTCCTTTTAATTCTGTTCTTATCCTGCTCTTAGAAATGGCCATATAGTATTAGAGTTGCATTTCCCTTTTATAGAACGTAAGTTTTTTGAGGGCATGGACTTATGAAGCCACTGCTTTAGGTATTAGGGATATACAATAGTAAACAAGATAGACCAGGTTCCTGTTCTTAGATAAACAATAGTCTTCACATTTTTATACTGTTTTTTAAGTTCATATAACAATATTATTTTAGAATACCAGTAATGTACAATCCAGTATTTAGAAATTAAACCATTTTCAAAATATCAGTCAAAAATAAACTAATTGCTCTAATTACCTTATTTTATTTTATAACTAAGAAGTAGTAATAATATTATTTCCACATGATAGTTTTTTTTTTTTTATTGTAGCAAACATCTTTCTTTAGCATTGTTATTTTCACCAACAATCATTTTCCTGTCCCTTATAGGTCTTAGAATTGTTTTGAAATTGGCAACTTTCCACAACCATAAAAATAGACTTCCAATAAGATCATATTCAATGATATCACCCCAAAATGGTGCTAATGCAGCACCCAGCAGGAGTCTCAACATCACATACACAGAAGTTAAAAACGGGCAGCACAAGCATGTGTTAGGAAGAGTGTGCAAATGTCAATGACTAGAAAAACAAGCCTTGATACTACACTATTACCCATTGCTGACACTTTTCACTAAATTAGGTAGAAAAGTAAAATGTCTCAACAGCAACAATCTCATAAACCTGAAATAGAAGACAGATTTTTAAAAGAAAACCTATTTAAGCCAGAAAACACTTAACTTCCTATTCCTGATTTTTATAATCACAGAGGTAGACAAATATATGCTCAATTTGAAAGCCTATATTAGTTTTTCTCAACAGGAAGCAACGTTGCTAACGAAGTGGTAAATTCAGTGTTAATGAGTGGCTTCACTGTTACCACCTCAGAGGTAAAACCTTCCATGTTCTATGTTCCACCCATCTGTTCTGGTGTTAGAGGTTCAGAGATGGAACAGACGCTTCCCATTTAAAGCAACTTCACTGGTACCCCTGAACAGCAGGGTGACAAACTATGAGAATATCATGTCGACTTGGAGACTGCATCCTCATTATCAGAACGGCTTTATAAGAGCCTTCCATAAGTTCACATTCTGAAGATACCCAACTGTTTTGCTCACAAATAGAAAAAAAAAAAAAAAGTTTTTGCACAACAGATTTTTATCTACAAATGCAGCTAGCAAAAACAAATAAAAGAGTCAGCTCAAATTAAATACTAAAATATAAATGAGATCATTAACAAGTAAAGTTTTCTTTTGCATCTAGTAATAAAATATGGTTGGTTGACTTGCCCCAATTAGTAATTACCTCTCTTCAAGAATAAAGATGTTATTCTTTATCAGGTAAGTTGGAGAGATTTTCTTAGCACATTAATATTAAAAATCTATAGTATAAGAAATGGACTTAGTAAAGCTAGCTATAACAGTAATTTTAAATTTTCTTCGCTGAATTTTCCAAGTATATTTTAACTATCAAATGTTCAAAATACATATTTTCTTAGCAGTATTGAAGATTAACATCAGTTGCACTGAGATGCAATGCAAGACAATGAATCATTAAAATATGCTGAATGATGGATCTAGAATTCTGACATCAAAAACAGCGTATCTCCCTACATTTGTGGATGCATATGTGGTATCCAGACAAGAAAGCATCTGTCCTATAAGCTAATTTTATAATATATTAAATAGTTTTCAACTATCCTTCAATCTTATAATCAAATACATATAATAGAGCCATCAATACAGGTTGTGTTGATATTATAAAATGTGGAACATATCTGAAGTAGGCATTTTCCATTAGATAAATTTAAAACAGTCAAGTTCATAAATTATTTGAACACTCTAAATTTCAGTGGAGTCCTGGTGTGGTACAGTAGGATAAGCAATGGACTGCTAACCACAAGGTCAGCAGTTCAAACCCACCAGTCACTCCTTGGAAACTATGCCCAGGGTGACTATGAGTCAGAAGTGACTCGATGGCACTTAAGAGCAACAGCAACATTTCAATAAATTTTCGGTATCAATTAGCATCTTTTTAGAAAATGTTTGGGCAACATTACTGTTTCCTCTCCTGGGTAATCAAGTAAGCATAGAAATTTTCTTTAAACTGAATTTAAAAACATACTTAAAAAATTCACACACTTTATAAAAAGCTGTAAATGGAATTTCAAATCTACATAAAACATATTTTAGTTTCTAGAAAATCATAATAAGCTCTACAGTTATAACTGCCTGTAGTTATATATTGTGAACATTAAAAAAGCACAAAGGTCAGATCTGTCTTCAAGATGACAGATCATCACTTATATGCCTCAAGCTAGACTTATTGTCTCAGAAATCTCAAACATCAGTATTTTTGCAAACTATCAGCACTTGCTATAACACTCTCACTACACTACATGTTGAGGTTACTACAGAAGAAATGAGGTGATAATTGCATATTAACATAATTATTCTGTAATCCCTCTGAGCAAGCTTCCTAGGTCACTCAGTAATTCAGATTAGATACAACCTTCCTGTCATCAAATCCATGCTGTCCACTTTCTGTTCATGAATAATTCTTTTTTAATAATAAATTAGCTTAATTTCATTCTTTTATGTATATTATTAATTGTCTTGATAGCAAGTAGGTTAACATTTTGGGGCATTTATTACATAGTTCCAACCTTTGTCATGTAATATAATTTCAAACAAAGGTAAGAGTATGATTTGCCCTCATTCCACATTAGTTCATTAATAACTATATTACAAAGCTATAAATAAATTATAATGCTGCCCACTAGCTGAGTTATAGCTAGGATCTGTCAGGTTTTTGCAAAACCCATGTTTGTGTACATTATCCTTGAGAACACATGACAACTTCAGTTGGTATGTGAGTGGGTCAAGAAGAGAAAACCATTTTCAACTGTCATCCTAATTACAAAACAAATCTTGGTTAACTGAAATCATTCTACATCTAAAGCTACTGAAGTATTTAAGTCTATATATATGAGAGGGATTCAAAAGTTAGTTAAAAAACGGTAAGATAATGGAGTTTTTCCATTAACTTTTGAAGTCCCTTCATTTGCTATTACAATATATTGTTGATTACTGCCATCGAGTTAGTTCCAACTCACAGAGACCCTGGTGTAAGGTTCTCAAGGAATGGCTGGTAGATTTGAACTGCTGATCTTGCAGTTCAAACTGACCTTGTGATTCAGTGCTTATTCTTCAGTGCCACGCCAGGATTCCATATACAATATGCAAACATATACATCTAAATTTCATCCTGTTTACAAGGCAAGTGAAAATAGATCACACTACCTAATAAAATCATCCTAGAAATAAGGTACCCAATTTTGAATTTCATGAGAGGAGACACTAATATAGAACATTCACAAGTGCATCCGGCATGAGTAAGACTGTGAAAACCATCCTATATAATGAAATGAAGACTTGGTTGTGGTTTGCCATTTTCCAATTAGCCTATACAACTGAAACTCTTCAAATGTTTAAAGGTGTGGAGTATAGAATGCACAACACATAGCCAACTCATTTGAATTCTACAGAGAATTTCATTTCAAGACAAAACTAGAACAGTTTATAAAGTCTTATACTTTGTAATACTTTATAAATAAACTTTATGAATTCGATGGTTCAACAGGTTAGACTGACCACTTGTCAGAAACACTGCAGAAGGGAATATGGAGTTGGAGATTGAGTAAGTTGGTTTCAAAGGTCCTTTCTAATACATGCTACAAATTAGTTCCACATTTGAATGCACATATACAGAAAAAATAGAGCAAAAAACTAAGATGTGGATTACAGTAGTGTAATCCCTTAAAACAGTATTCCTAATTTCACATTTACTCAAGTAACCCTTTTCTTGTTGTTAAGTGGCGTCAAGTTGGTTCTGATTCGTAGAGACCCTGGGTTTCCTAGGAGTACCTAGTGAG